ATGGTCAACTTTGTCTGACTATCTGATATGATACTATCTGTATATATGTACTTTCAGTCATAGTTGGTGCTATTTTTTCAATATTAATTTTATCTTTGGTGGAGTAGGGTGTACATGTGAATTTAATTTACATGTGAATTAAACAAAGTTTTTTGTTGTTCTTTTGTTAGGTGTGTGTGTGTGTGTGTGTGCGTTGAGATTATTTGTAAAGCATGTTTCTGTAGGTAGGTGGCATTGAGTGACAAACAATACCTTCCACCTGATGATCTATAAGCCTAATTTATGTGATCTGGATCCTGGATTTCTTATAATAATCTGTGAACAATGAACATTTCTGATGTCCACAAGTACCCACTAGACACAGAACAAGTTCATTATTTTTTAAACTTGAAAACAATGGCAAACAATTTCAGGAAGATGTATCAATAGATATCATTACTGACTGACAAAACCTTAAGTACAAAGATCTGTAAACAAAGAATGCCATGTTTCCATGATTTCTCAACTTGTTTGACATAATTGACCTTTGGAGGATCACACACTTTGCTGTGGGACTGCCCTATATATTTTAAGGTGTTTGGTGGCACCTCTATCTTCTACCACTAGATGACAGCAGCACTCCCCTAGCAATGACAGGCAAATTTCTACAGAGCAAACAGTTCCAGTTGAGAAGGACTGCTCTAGGAGATCTCACCAGAGCTGCAGGTCTCTGTCACATAAGATGAGGACATGTAGGTGATTTCTGTCCCAGACAAATCAGAAAAGACTTATAATGTGATCTCTGCAAAATTAATAGCAGGTTAGAAAAATAAAACTCGGATTCAATGACATGCTATATTGAAAAGGAAATTTCAATTGGTCTAGAATCAGATAAAAAATCTAAAAATGTATAAAGAATATAATTTAATCTTGGAATGAAAAACATCAATGCGCATGAAACAGAGATCCTAGAAGGGAAAACTTTAAATCACTTAACTATGATACATCTATAACAAAATACTTATGAAATAACTATACATCACAAGCCAAAGCTAAAAAAGAGAAAGCAAATGTATTAACTAGCTTGTAACAAAGTGAAGATCAATATCTACAATAAAGAAAAGGCTCAAGGTGATCACTCTTTGAAATGTTAAGATGAAACAGGCTAGTAACGAAAAAGGAAATCCACAAAAGAAAACTTAATATGTGAAATGTTTTAAAACTTCATAATCTGATTGTAGCTCATGAAATGAAAGTCAAATCACCGTGAGGTATCATCCCATGAGACTGACAAAATTAAAGGGATTTTTGAAATGTTAAGCTGCTGAAGGAAGGGTATGGTAACGGCCATGTTTCTACCAGTCTTTTAGGGAGCAATTTAACAGGATCTTACAGGATATAGACTATAGATAATACATATTTTTGCCCTGTATTCTGCATCTGTAAATCTTCCCTGTGAAAATATTCTATCACATACAAATAACATACATAAAATGCGTTGAAAAACCAAAGCAGCTGGCAAGGAAAAGGCTTCTCTCTACATATGCCAAATTGTTAATGAAAATGAATTTGAGGGGAAAAATGGAATGTGCATATCAATCTATGCACATCATGGTGGCCAAAGTTTCACAGAAATATGTATTCTATTACCTTTACTAAATTATATAATTTCATATTATATATGTTATAAACAGAGCAATAAAACTAGTATGCTGAAGCAAGTGGCTTCTGGAATCTGTGATTTTAGTTCTAAAATACTATGACTTCAGTCTGCTTTACAAGTAAATTCACAAAGGTAACTCACCATCTTTATGTTCATACCACAGATTCCTTTAAGAAAAAAAGGGGAGAAGGCAAGTATGGTGACATCCATGTAACCCCAATGCTGGGAAGGTTGAGGAAATAAAATTAATAGTTTCAGGCCAACCCAGACCACAGGAGACCCTGACTCAAACAAACAAAAAAACAACAGAAAAGCTAAAATGGAGAAAGGCAACTTTGTAAATCCCTCCAAAATCCCTCTAGATGTTTGGCTCCTGTCTTAGATGACTACACTTGTCCTCAGAGCATCTTTTAATGTCAGATGCTCTCTGTCTGTGAAAGGCTGAGTGACTACACTGGATCACTGGCCTAGGAAAGAGGGAGCCAGAAAACACAATTTAATCAACGTATGGGGAAAATGTGATTTTTGTTCTCTCCACCAGAGATACCCTAGTAGCGCGAGCTGGTGGAGAAATGCTGCTTTATCTTGGAATCACTGGGACAGAGAGTGGGGAAGAGCCACCAGGTATCACAAGCCTGCATGAAGCAAAGCTGCTGAGTGTTTATTCTGTATCAGGTTCGGCATTGCTCTCTGATGAAACCCTCCTGGCAGTCTTAGGAGAAGGTACCATTAATGTCACAGCTTGCAAACCAGGACATTGAGGCTCAGGGACTGTGGAAACATGTCCCAAAGCCATCTATGCAGTAAACAATGACATTTGTCATATGACTTCACAATCTGTCTTAACTACTGTATTTAAACAGTGTTTAAATAATTGTGTTTTTAAAAGCTGGCCTACCAGAAGGGAGAATTAAACTAAAGGTGGGTGCTGACGTGACTCCAAGATCAATGCTGAGGCAGAGACGAAGCTGCCTGCTTTAGAAATGTGGAATAGTTTCTAATACTTCTTTACTGGAACAGTGTCTATGAAGAACCTTGGCAAGCTGGTTAATACAGCTGAGAAAACAATGGAGTCTCAGTGGGAACCACGCCTGTGTAGGCATGTCTGACAAAACAGGAGACAGATAAGCTATGTCCATTTTTCTGACTGCCTCAGAGTCTCCTGAGAAGTGCCCTGTGTTAGGAGCAGATTGGGAGTTTGACTCAACACTATCATCTTGGTCAATTGATCCTTAAGTCATTCTGATGCAAATGATACAAGAACACCGACTGTGTGTCAGTTAAATTGTTTCCGTGTCAAACATCTGGCTAGTTTCAAGGTTGCTTGTAATAACTGAAAGAATCAATTTAATAAAAGTCACTTGAACACTAATGTGAGAGCCCTCTAGCCTGAACTTAAAAGACAGGAAACTGTGTAGACCCACTAAGAAAACCAGAAGGTTGAGGGGGTCTTTGTTTTGTTTTTCTTTCTTTTTTTTTCAGACAATTTCTCTGTGTAGCTTTGGAGCCTGTTCCAGAACTTGGCCTTGAAGACCAGGCTGGTCTTGAACTCACAGAGATCCTCCTGCCTCTGCCTCTCATTTTTTTGTTTTTCAACCAGTTATTTGCCATCATTAGTCTCTACAGAATCCAGAGACACATTATTCAAAGGTAAGAATTGGCCTACTTGAACATATTGAAGCAAATATGTGTAGCTTGTATATGTTAAGCATATAATAAGTTCATTTTAAATCCAGAACCTGAAGAAACAACTTACACTGCCTAGCATTCACAAAGAACTAGGTTCAATTTCTTCTCAGCATTGAGAAGCAATTCACACAGCATGGTGTAGTTATCTGACTCCATCTTTTCATGAGGAAGGAAACATTGAAGGGGCTTTCCATGTGACTGTAATATTAAACAGTGGATTAAGATATCTGAGTTTTTAACATTTTTTATGCTTAATAATGTGTATGCAGCGCACACACACACACACACACACACACACACACACACACAAATACATGAGCATTGGGTAAGGTGTGCAAGTGCCTGCTGAAGGCAAAAGACATCAGATCCCCTGGGACTGGAGTTCCAGGAGATTATGAACCACTGGACCTTTGTACTGAGAACTGAGTTTAGGTCCTTTACAAGTGCAGTATGTGCTCCTAACCACTGAAGCATCTCCCCAGGCCCAATCTCTAAGTTTTACTCCTGGTTTTGTCACAATCTAACTTGATAATGTGGTCATTTAATTCTGAAATTAAATGAAAGCCACCTCCTACCCCCATTTGGGCAATTCAGCATTTTAAAATACAAAAATGTCAGCAGTGGGAGATGAAGTTCTCTTCTGAGATCTCATTTTGCATGACTTTAGAGCAAGCTCAGTGGGTTCCAAGGAGAGGATGTGGGGCTTGGTGGAGATAGTCCTTCATTCTTGCTTTTTCCAATTGGGTCAAATCACTCCTCTCTAACATGCAGCAGTCATCAATACTGTGGATGAACACTCAGCCAGACCCAGATAAAGACACAGGCTTGCCTCCTCACACCTGCCCAGCCGGTAGGGATGGTGAAGGCTGAGTCATCTGGGCAGACATATTCCCACGGAGTCGTCTTTCCAGATTTAACTTTGACTTCTTCACCCACTACATTCCCAAAGCCTGCAAATGGGTGTGGCTGCTGTCAAAGCTGAAGAGTTGATGGAAAAGTAGAGAGGTTACCTCAGTATTTTTTATTAACTTGAAGTATAGTATTTACTTAACATGATGAATCTTCCTTCATGGCAAGCTCAATTAATAGCAGGTCAAGAAGCCTGCTCTCAGGTTACCTCACAGACTGATTAACTAGGACACTTAGCTAGGCAACCACTCATTATTTGGGTTACTCCAGGTGATTTAATAACTGGGTATCACTGTCAACATTAACTGGTAACTACAAGACAAATTTACAGTGTGGTATGTAAGTATTGAACTAGACAGAAACGGGCTAAACCTACATTGTCTTCTTACAATTAATATTTTTATTCAGCACTAAAAATAAGAAATGTTCTTAAAGTTTTGGCATTTCAAATAAAAGTGATTATCTCTGCGTTTGATTTTCAGCTATAGGACAGTGATGATTGAAGCCACCAAATGCAACTACAGAAACTTGCAGTGTGTTCTGCAAGTTCCAGCTCTTGCTACTTATCAAACAAAGATAAAAACTAAGCATGAGGGCGAGGTGCTTCACAAGGCCCTTCCATGGTGATGGCCAGAAAGTGTTTATAGGCTGTATAAAACATGCATAAAACTCCCCGTTGCAACAAGGAAGGTTGGACACACCTGGAAGTGGGAGGATTGGTGTCTGCAGGATGAATGAGACAGGGACAGGAGGAGCCAGATGGGATTGTGACATTCTCAGCAACGTTTGCAGCCTACACCATGTTGTTTCATTCCTATACCTAAACCTGCTTTATTTGCTTCAGAGTTTTGCTGCTGGAAAATACACGAAAACTGTTTTAAACCTACAGGTCTTTCCCCCTGACTCTAGATGTAGTTGCTACATCCTTAGGCACAAAGCAAATGCAGATGTTGGACCATGTCAGAAATCTTGTCAAGAGCATGGACTGTCTCACACAGAGTGGAGATATGGCTTCTGATCCTGCTGGCTTATTTGCTCCAAAGAAATGTGAACTCGGGACATATGCCAACAAAAGCTGCTGATCCGGAAGCGTTCATGAATGTTGTAAGTTGGGGTTTTTAATGTTTGGGGGAAAAAGAAGGGTTCTGTGTTAGTATTTGCATCTGTGCAGTAGCTGCATGCTGTGTTATTTTTATATATTGCGGTGGTTAATGCTTTAACAGTGTGCTGAAAAACAACACACTGAACCTGAAGAAAACTAAACTGGTTGTTAGTAGACCTGGGGGCTTCCCAATCAAATTCAGTGATTTGGGGGGAATGACTTACTCTCTTTGAGCTTTAACAATTTAATTTTTCCTTGAATTCTCAAATTCACCCACTGGACAAGGAAAGAATTGAAACATGTATGACCTATTTTAGACCCCTGATGATTTTCAATCTTTGTTTTCTTTCCTGTTTTGTGCCTTTTGATAAAAGTGTCACCCATGACCTCTTGCTGTGAGAACATATACTTCTAGTAGCTTCTAGTATTATCCTGCTCTGGATTCTAACTCTGCCAACTAGCAGTGAGATGTCCCTATCTGTTCCAGAGAAGATGTGTGAGTAAGATGTGCAGAGAACAGCACATCTCTTCGGAAGTCTTCTAGAGAATTTTTATGTGATCAGCATAAGGTAGCATTTATTCCGTAGACAGTATTGTAATAAAAGTGGTAGAGATACAATTTCATTTTCAGTGTTCTGTCCTGAGGATAAGATTATCTATATTTCTCAAATCAAGGCACTAGTATTAAAGAAGCCTTTAAACAAGTTAAGCGAGTCCTACGGTGGCTGTAAGGTAGGCCTGCAATTTAAATTCAGGCTTTCCTAAGCACACACGTGTAATTATAACTGCTGTGCAATAAACCCTACCATGTGACAGGGTGGAGGGAGCGTCAGCTTCCAGATGAGTGAGATGATTGTGTTGGATGCTCCCTAGCCTCACCTGATATCCCCATTAAAAGAGGAAACTTAATGTTTTGTGAAGGAAGACCCTTTTTATAGAAACTTTCTTTCCTTCTAGTTTTTTTTGCATGGTTTCTAAAACTAACAGCCTATAATGAAGGAGGTTTTCTTTTTTTATGAATCTCCATAGGACTATTAGACTTCATCTGCCATCCCACCGGCTGCTGTCATAGTTTCTAAAACTTACAGACTGTAGAAACACTCTGCGTCTACAGAGTACAGGTGCCAGGCGTCTTTAAACCATCCTATTTGTTACATTATATTTGTCCTTCCAGGACATTATTGCAGTTCTTATGGAACCCTAAATGTACCCCCACAAAGTCCTCCAGCACATGGGGAGTCCCTTTGACAAGGATTACCTTCCTAGACCATTCACTGCTCATACCCAGCACCTCCAGGCTATCAGGATCTCTAGAAAGAACTGGACTGGACTCCCCCTCTACAAATGCTTGAAGCTGTGCCTACACCTGGGCCACAGAGAAATCTCAGAAAATCAGATGCCAGGGTTTCACTGAGCTGACACGATCCAGCACAAAAAACAAACTCTCAATTACTGATCACAAGATTGAGAGCAAAGGAAGAAAAGCATAAAACAGGGGAATCTAAACCAGGCTTTAGGAAAACATTTCATGACCTGAAGGCAGAAGAATAAACAGGAGGTAAGAAAGGGTTGCAGGCAAAGAGGTGAGCATGTTGAGGAACTGGGTCTGCAGAAAGCATGCCATAGTCAACCCACATTCAAGATGAGAGTAGAGTATAGCGCAATTGACTTTTTTAGAGATGTTTTGTATTTAATTTAGAAACAAGCTTGCTTCACATGTCAATCCCAGCTCCCTCTCCCTCCCCTCCTCCCCCACCCCTCCCCACTTCCCCAACCCCACCACCCAATCCCCACTCTGTTCCCTAGGGAAGGTGAGGCTGATCTCCAAAGTTTACAAAGAACTTAAGAAGCAAGTCTAGAGAAACTTAAGAAAGTGCAGTTGACTTTTAAATTTAATAACTTTTATTATAAGTGCAGTGTGCATCCCTTGTATAAAACCTAAGAACTATGAGGTTAATACTGATTAATGCATTAATACATTGAGCTAACCACTAACAGCTTTGTAGTGTCCTGTAATTTTCTTCTAAATCTATGAAGTTTAAATTTTCTGAGAAGACAGTGGAGCATCATACATGGTTTGCCATTTTCCAACATTTTCTATTAACAGTTTCCCAAGTTTTTTTCATATTATATTTTTTTTATTTCATTTTATATTCCAACAACACTTCCCCCTCCTACCCCTCCTCTCATGCCTGCCTCACCTCCTCCTATCTCCCCTCCTCCCACCCTCCCTCACCTCCCCCCAGCCCACCCCAAGTCCACTCCTCACAGGTAAGGGCTCCCATGAGGAGTCAACGTAGTCTGGTACAATATGTTGGGGCAGGGCTCAGACCCTCTCCCATGCATTAAGACTGACCACAGCATCCCACTATAGGGAATGGGCTCCAACAAGCTAGCTCATGTACCAGGATTATATCATGGTCCTGCCACTGAGCATGGCATCTCACCCTAAGGAATGGACTCCAACAAGCTAGCTCATATACCAGGTTTGTATCATGGTCCTACTGCCAGGAGCCCCTCTGATAGTCCAAGCTTCACAATTATCTCCCACATATGGAGGGTCTAGTTTGGTTCCCTGGAGTTTCCACAGTTGTAGGTCTAGAGTCCATGAGTTTCCACAATCTTGGCTCATCTGTCTCTGTAGATTTCTCCATCAAGATCTTGACCTCCCTTGCTCATTTGTTCCCTCCTCCCTCTCTTCACCTGGATTCCCGGAGCTTGGCCTGGTTCTTGTATATCTCTGCATCTGGTTCCATCAATTACTGGATGAGGGCTCTATGACATGATGATAATTAGGGTATTCATCAATCTGATTACGGTGTAGGCCAGTTCAGGCATCCTCTCTACTATTGCTATGAGTCTTAGTTGGGGTCTTCCATGTGACTTCTTAGGGTTTCTCCCTAAGCCCATAGTGATTCTGTTTTTCATCGCTCTTCCACTGCATCCCTCCCCACCTAGGCCATCTTGTTCCACCCTGTTCTCATTGCCCTATCCCCTCCCCCTTACCACGCCCTATCTCCAATTTGCCTTGTAGATGTCATCTAATTTCTCTTCCCAGGTTGATTCATGTGTCCCTCTTAGAGTCCTACTTGTTTCCCAGCTTCTCTGGAGATATGGACTTTAGTCTGGTTATCCTTTGCTTTACATCTAATATCCACTTCAGTTTCCTAAGGTTTAAGGTTTAAAAACATTATTCAATTTTCCGTATCATCATGTACTTTGTGATTTGCATATTTGTCCCAGACATGTTTTAAAACATGATTTATATGAAAGGTATTTATAAAGAATTCTTGTAGCCGGATGTAATGGCACACACCTGCAGTCACAAACTTCTAGGGGAAGCAGAGGGAACTCTTGACCCCACAATACAACAACACACCACACACAAGAAAACAATGTTTCTAAAAAAGAGCAAGCAACAAAGGATGAACATTCTTAAAGTAATATTTTAATTCATATAACTGATTTTTTCATTCAGGGAAAATTTTTAAAATAGATAATTAACATTAAATATGGTTAGAATTTTTCATTTACACTTTGGAGGGCAGAAGTATTCCAAGCTCAAGCCCAGCTTGAACTTTACAGTGAGGCTCAAAATACATATAAGTATGTGTGTTAATACACACACACACATATGTACATATACATTTATATATGTCCCTTCAAAAATGCTTATGCAGCCTGGCATCGTGGTACATGCTTTTAATCCTAGCACTCAGAATGCAGAAGTGGATCTCTGTGATTTCAAGGCCAGTCTAGACTGCCTATCAGGGGCATCCAGGGCTACTCAGAGAAAGAGATCTTGCCTCAAAACACAAAGGGAAAAATGGTGATAAAAATCTTTAGAATATGTTGGCTCTGCATTTTTATGTAGACAAATTTGTGTTTTAATATTATCCTGTGTAAGTTCTCCTGCCAAATATAGTCTCCTGATCACCATTGATAGTGTTTACTAACATATAATCCTTTCCTGTCTAAGACACCCATGTCCCTAACATCACATTCCTAGGTTCTCTTGGGTAGTTCCTCTTCAGTCTTAGACAAGCACAAATTCTCCCTCCTCCATAAAACTTTGCCTAACTGGTCCTGTTCATGGATCGCTTGCTGCTCAGAATTTCTTTTCTCCTTCCTTCAGCCATTATTTACACATAACCCACACCCCCCCATAACAAATTACATAGACTTTCTCAGAAGCCCTCTAACATTTCATGTATGTATCTTATCTCTCCAAGTTGTTCCCTACAGAGACTTCTTAAACAAGCAGCTTCTTCAACATCAGGAACCTTGTTAGAAATATCAGTACCAAGTCTTACTGTGTCTTGTTATGCCATATTCAGTTGATATGCCAGGGAAGCTTGCTATTATTCCAAAGGGAAATGGGGGAGGAGTGGATCCAGGAGGGAAAGTAAGTTGTGGGGAGGGGCTGGGAAGAGTGGAGGGAGAGGAAACAGGGGTTGGGATGTAATATATGTGAGGAGGAGGAGGAGGAGGAGGAGGAGAGAGAGAGAGAGAGAGAGAGAGAGAGAGAGAGAGAGAGAGAGTCCACACCAGACCTGTCAAAACTCTGAGAATGGAATCCAGCAATCTGTGTCTTGACAAGCCCTCTAAGTAGGTTTGATGCATCATCAAAACAATTTAAATTAACTATGTAATGGTGAAATACACACACACACACATACACAAACACACGAGCACTCAAGCACAATCACATACACACACACAATTCCATAATGTTTGGTTAGTTGGGTTTTAATTGTGTACTTATTGTGTTTTAATTATATATAATTTCTACTGAGTACCTATTGTTGATATCAGGCATTGCTTTAGTATTCTATGCATATTCCTTCTCTTATCCTACGTAGCATGAACTAGCAGAGGAATAAAGTACGGAACAGTAAGTAGCTAAGGTTTTCACTATCATACAGTCAACTTATGTATTAAGTTAGAGCCCAACAAGAAACCTAGGTCTTTTGTTTGTTTGTTTGCTTGTTTGTTTCAAGATAGAGTTTCTCTGTGTAACAGCCCTCCTGAAACTTACTCTGTAGTCCAGGCTGGACTTAAAGATCTGCCTGCCTCCCGAGTACTGGAATTAAAGGTGTGCTCCAATCACCCGAGCACCCCCCCCCTCAGTTTGGCCTTTCTTCTTAATGACTATGCTTGTTAATCTATATTCAGCATTGAGACTTTGGCACTTAGTTCCTCCTCTCTTACTCATTTTGCAGCAGATTGAAAAGGCCCCCTGCTCCTCTAACTGATGAGATGGTGACAGATGGCAAGAGCTGCATGCAACCTTAGGAGGAAGACTATCAGCATGCACTACTATCTGAAGTAGAGATGCTTAGCCAGTGGTCCAGTGCAAACACGAAGGAGTTTGAGATCTAGACATTACATACAAAAAAAGTTTATGCACAGCATTTTATTAGTCATCCCCCCAAACCAAGGAGGTTTTTTTCAGTCTAAAAGCTTAAGACTTACTGTTCTTCAGTCTGTAAACTTAAAACTAAAAGGATATTCAAGGGAACCAGAATATCCTTAAATCACCTCCAGAATAGGTGTGCTAACAATTGCAGTACAATGGTTTGTTTTCTAATCTGGTCTGAGCCCAAGATTCTATGCATTCAGTGGCCCTGTATGATGCTGATGCATGTCCAGGCTTTGGAATCTGTGTTCTCTTTCAGTGTTTTTCAAATGTCAGAATTCTGTGAAGACCTTTTTGAAACTTGGTTGTTGGGATGATCTTTGGGGTTCCTAAGACAGTAGGTTCTGTAGCAGTGCTCTGCCTTCCTAGCAATGCCATGGGGAGGCTGACAGAATTGACCTAACTACTGAAAACCATGGTCTCATTCAGTCTCCACTTGAAGAACAAAAAAGAAGGGAGACAGATGGGGTGTAGTTCAGTGGCAGAGCACTTGCCTAATGTGCGAGGCCCTGGGTGTGATTACCAGTACTGGAAAATAGAAAAATGAATGAACATGAGCAATAAAGACCTTCTTGCAACACCAAAGAAGCTACTCTTACTCTTGAGACCTTGGGATGAAATCAATTGTGAGGTTTTTGTTTGCTTGTTTGTTTTCCATAGAGCGAAATTATCCAACACAAGGGTTATCCCAGTGAGGAATATGAAGTTGCAACTGAAGATGGATACATCCTTTCTGTGAACAGAATTCCTCAAGGACTGACACAATTAAAAAGGGAAGGTATGGATTTACTCGGTGTCAGCCCAGTGTGATAGTCTTGAAACCCATACTTTCTTGACCTGTAGAATTAAGTTTGGTTCTTAGGACAGTCTGAGGTCTCTTGGTTAGGCTGAAAAATAATGCCAGTTCCCACATAATGTCTGTCTCTATTACCATATAACATTCTATCCATACTCATATCCATGAACGATCTCAGAAATGTATTTTCTTTTCAAAATTACCTTTGATCTAGAGAGTGACATCAGGATTTGAAAACAGGACACACATTTGTGAGTCCCTGGGTTCAGTTACCATCACCACAAAACAAATAAAAATCAAAATAAATAAAAGCAAAGCAAAACCCCAAAACAGAACAAAACAAATCTTAAAGAAAATCCATTTTAATGGATTTTTTTCCATTCTGGCACTCAATCCATTTCCTACATAGAAACTCTAGAACATTTTCTGATGATCCCTTGGAAAGACCAACCTACCCCTATTCATGAAGAATAAAATCTACAAGGAAGTACCTGAAACTCAAAGCTGTGCAATGTGTTAGCCAACCAAAGTGTACTTCAAACGCTTGTGGTGTTGCCTCCTTGCCACTGAGGACTAGGAACCAGGCTCTAGTGCACATATGTTAATTTTCAGTGTATGTCCATGTCATTTGCCTAATTTCATTTTTATATGGGATTCTCAACTGACACTTTTTAAACTACTGGTCTCTGTGCCTATTATATTTTGACTCTGCATTTATAACAGCAACAACATTATTTGTCATGGGTGACAAAATGTAACTTCTTGGGTTCTCTCTGTATACCTGCTATAAAATCAAGTGCTTCAGTGTTTCAGTCTCATGTAATTTTCATTGAAACTCTGCCACAAACGAGACCAGAAATTCCATGCAGCCATGGAATTTCTTAACTAACACTAGCCAAATGGTATTGGTCTTTGATGTAAAAAGTTCAGAATTCTGTTTATCCCAATCTGTGCTTGCATAGCCTTTAAAAAAAATGAGTCCCTGTTTCGCTCACGTTTAACCGGATGCAGGTCTGCTCGGTTTCTATCCCAGTGCCTTTGAATTTATAATTCTTTCTTTGCAGCTTTCTAAACCCCTTCTTTTTCCCTGGCCACTCTATTCAGAATGCTGCCTTATGTCGTCTTCTGCCTAATTCTTTCCCTTACATGCCTGAAGACATTCCATACGGTAGCTGCTTTCTTGATCATTTACTGTCTTTTTCTCCTCCACCATAGTGAAAACTCAGTAAAGCAGGGGACTCTATTTCATTCAAGGCCTGTGCAACGGCTAACCTGATGTTGAGAGTAGTCTAGGTGCTGATAAATTTATTTTGAGATGAAGGAATGAAATGTGCAAATAATTGAATATCCTAGGAACAGACTTGTCACTAAGTTCCACAAGTCCTACAGGCTTGGGCAAGGCATGGTGCTTCCAGTCAAGTGACTGTATTGACTGCTCGGTACAGAAGAGGACTCCAGCACTGCTCCGAGGGTCAAGTTTTTACTTACAGGCATGAATGCTGACCTTCAAAACACCTTTTAGTTCAATTAGTGTTCAATGCAGTCCCCCAGTGGCCAATATTCTTACGGTTTCTAGTACTTCCTAATGGGCTGTAATTGGCTACTATTATTTATTTGGGTTTTGACAATGTCTTCTCGTGTAACCATGGCTGGCCTCAAAATCATGATCCTCCTGAATTAGCCTCCTCAGTTCTGGTTTTACATGTATATGCCACCACACCCAGCTTATAACTTTATTCTGATAGACACTTTTCTCTGAAGCATGGGTCCTTTTTACATGCACTAGCCTTAGTCATTAGACCATTTTATACATATGTACATGTGTGTGTGTGAGTTCATCATTTAAAATATCCTCTTCTGAAAAGGCCCAAATATTATCTGAGGCCCTAATACTAGCAGTTTCATACTTAAACTTCCTTGAAAACCAGTCATGGAAACTGCATTTTAGGTTTTTTCCTCCTCCATTTACAAGCAGTGTGCTGTTTGTTCCTTGTGAATTATCTCATTTATTCATAACACAAATCCTATTTTCTGGTTGTGAAGAAATCAAAACACAAAAAAGCATTAAAAAGTCAACTAAGATAATCAAACTAGCAAGCAGAAAAAGAACAATTGCACATAGATTTCTTTGGCATACAAGTCCTTGTTTGTAGAAAAATCAAGACAAACAGAGATCTGTTCATAGCAGTTGGAATTTTCTTTGTCTGCAGGATCCAGGCCAGTGGTGCTACTGCAGCATGGTCTTCTTGGGGATGCTAGCAACTGGATTTCCAACCTACCCAACAACAGCCTGGGCTTCATTCTGGCTGATGCTGGCTTTGATGTGTGGATGGGAAACAGCAGAGGAAATACCTGGTCTCGAAAACACAAGACTCTCTCCATAGACCAAGATGAGTTCTGGGCTTTCAGGTATAAGATAACTTTGAGGATGGAGGGGGATGTAGATGTGCCTGGAAGAACTGGGTAAAGAATTGTGGCTTGCAACATCTGGATAGCTCATTTGGTTGTATCACCAAAGTTCCAACTTGATATCCCCCATTTTTTCTAATGATACTTTGGGTAAGAATGGAGAAGACTGGATTTCCAAAGGTGTGGCTAACAATGGGGTGAGAACAGTGGTTGGTGTCAGGTGATTGAGACTGCAGTGAGAAAAGTGTAGGTCCATTTTCGTGTGAGTGAGTATCTAGGATTAACTCCCTCATATGTGACAACATGGCTGACACCCCCAGGAGATGAGATCAAGTGTCATTAAATGGGGACTTATTAATTTTTGTGTGCCATCAATTTAACTAGTCTCTTATAACCTCACTCGAGTTCCTAAGGTCCTTAGTTACTACTGATATTCAACCTGTTCTTTATCCATTTCATCAGATAAGAGTTCTGCTACACTTCCAATATTTGTCCTACAAAGAAATCTTCATCCCACTCTGCTGTTCTATTTACAGGGTATAACACTATTTATATTAGGAGTTGGCTTGTGTGTCCAAAACTATTCAATAATCTTCACTCTATTATAGTATCCAGAGAGAATAGACATTTCTATCAGTCTGTGACCTCGCAGAGTCACCACAGTTTGAAACAAATCTGTCTTATGAGAAGCACAGTAGGAGCTGACACTAGGGGGGGCTTATTGGCAGATCCTGGGGGCAAGAGGTGAGTGATTTTTGACTGTGCTCTGTTTGTATTATAATTGTTATCTAACTTTGTCTTTTCCCCTTGTAGTTATGATGAAATGGCTAGGTTTGACCTTCCTGCTGTGATAAACTTTATCTTACAGAAAACAGGCCAGAAAAAGATCTATTACATCGGCTATTCACAGGGCACCACCATGGGTAGGTTCACAGGAAAGAAGGTTTGTATCTGTAGAAGTGTGAGTCTGTGACTGAGCTCAGTTAATTACCCCCCTCATCTGGCCTCTTTGGTGGCTCTAAAAGCTTCAGAGAACACAGGTTGAACTGTGGTGGATGCAAATACCATCTCTGCCACTCTTTAGACGATATCCCAAAACAAATCCTTTAATCACACTGGTTTCAAAGTCCTCATCTGCAAAATGGAGATAATAGTCTCTCTTAAGGTGTTCTAAGTAATTGGACTACTACTTAATACAATGATGCATGTTAGCTCTGGGAAAGGAGGTATTTTGTCAAAAACACTGTTGTAATTGAAGTTTGTAGCCCATGGTATACACTCCATGAATGTGTTCAGTGAATGAAGTCTTGGGTTCAAAGTTCGCCTCATAGAGAGCAGTAAGAAAGACACAGTGTTATCATCGAGTGACAAACAGAACTGATGGTGTAAACTCAAGTTTCTCTCTTACCGTCATTACCAGTCTGGGATTAGGTGCTTATGTGCTGCTTTGAGTGAATCTGTGAGAGACTGACATGACACCCCTCAGGACAAGATCACTTACATGGGGAAATGCATGGCTATTCTGGTCTCATATCATACCCAGACCAATGAGAAGATACTCACTAGGCTTGAATTAGGAGGAAGAGCTATGCAACAAAAGGAGTGTTTAAAATCTGGAACTAATCCAGGCTCTTTATCTTTGTTCTGAGCAAGATTACAGTTTTCTAAGAAAAATACATTATTTTTATTCAGGGTAGCTGTGTCTAGCTACCAAGGCAGGCTTTATACTCATTAGGAAGATGAAGTTAAGTAGGCTCAGTAGCATCTTTCTATTGTTTTAGCCTTCATAATAATGATAATTGCATCATATGAGTATTTACTAACTGCTTACTGTTAGAAATGCATCATTTTTCTTCATCTTTGAACAAGAATATTTGGAAGAAAGTCATATCCCTATTTTATAGATGAATGAATTGTAACATAATGAAAGAACTAGAGACTTGAGTGTGAGCCACTAAGCCAGTAACTGCACTTGTGTATGTCAAATAACTAATACACAGTAAGGGCAACACATTGAATGAGAAATACACACACACACACACACACACACACACACACTCCTCAGCTCCTACAAGAGACTTACTTCCATATCTACAACCACTGAGGGCTATTAAGTCCAATCTTTCAAGGAACAGACATGGATAACTTTGAAGCCTGTTTCTCTACTGAAGCATTATGACTTCAGCCAGATAGACCTCAATTAGTTAACTCATAGGATGCTTGTTGTTGCCTTAACTCAAAAATAACCATGGTGCTAGCAGACCACACAATCACTCTGGTCATCTGGTCATGGTTACTGATTCACCAAGGTGGCTCCCTTCTACCGAAGTTCTAACTGATCATTAAACAGTGTCACCAAACTTACCTTTTGACTAGTTCCCATTTTCCCCCAATGAATGCAGTGACTACTTGCCTTTCTCTGAAATTCCTTGGGTTCTGTCTCTGTTATCACTCTACTAAAGGAGTAAGTGACTCAATGTACTTACTTTGAGAAATTCAAAGGAGAATGAGCCAGAATGAGAAGGAGGAAATTATTTCATGCACAAGTTCAACATGTTTTTGGAGAGTTTATATGTATCAAATGTCAACGTTTCCCCTAAAACTTATCCAACCCAGGACAGACATCAAACAGAGTAGCAAAAGGTCGAGTGGTTATGGCCAAGCCTTAGACATCAACTTTTGCTAAGCAAATAGCATAATTTATACAAAAAATTAACCTGACTCTGAAGCGCAGTAAGCACAGTAAAATTGGCTGTTTATTTCTCTTTCATTCTTGATCTGTATCAATCACAATACTGTCAGAGTGTATATTGGGAATTATGTGGTTTCACTAGGGCTTCTTAGGTGTTATTCACAGAACCAACTTGTTTCCTATAAAAATTTCCAACAATCACCAAGACTGTTACAGTGATACCACATAAGATTAAAGTCATATTGGGAATTAAAAATTCTAATGGCTGTTGGAACTGAGAGCTCAAATTCAGTGGGCTCATTTTTAACCCATACCCTAAAGGATGAAAGAATCTTTGGTTTCACACTTTCCTCAACTTAATCTTGAATAATAGAAATGTAGTGTTAGTGGCTCTCATCAAACCAGAGATAGAAAAGTTACAATGTTCCATACCTCTACAATTCAGAGGTATTTTTAAACTGGTTTCTCTATACACAAATTGTTGAGTTAAATACCAAGGCAGAGGTGCTCCTGGCAAGGCTAGATACTTTCTTGAGAGGAATGAATGAGCAAGAAAGCATACATTAGTCTAATGATTAACCATGGGGCTGTTAAAATAAAAACCTTGAACTTGCTTTGCGTGATGAGAAGTCTTCCTAGGAGAGGCTATTTAGGGCTCTCAGGTTAAGATTTAAGAAGAGTTCTAATCTGGTCAGAATTAATCTGCTTGGTATAAATTTATCGATTCCCATCCGTTTGTACTCACAGCATAGCTGAGAGAGCAAGAGTTAATGGCAAATCTCTCCTGTATTTGCCTTTGCTTACAGCTGGAAAACGTAATCGGATGCAGAGGACTGTATAGTAAAATTCTGCCTTCTTTCTACCCATTCACTTTCTGGGAACTGAACAGAGGTCATGAGTCAACTTTTCCTCATCCTCATCCCTCAAATTGGGAGTATCAGCCTAAACAGAGAATGTGCATATGTAAATTATTTTAAATGAAAGGCCATGTCCTGGCTTCATGGGACAGCCTTTCTCTTTCATGGCTTCAGCAGAGATCTTCAATAATAAGAGTAAAAACTGTTCTTTCTACTCTGGGTGTGGAAGCCAAACAACTTAACTCAATAAGGACATACTACCCGAAAACGAATATGAAAGGGGTCATATGAAACATGGGAGATTTTGTATTAAAACCCACCCCGATCCCATAGCATACACACATCCCTGAAGCCTACAATTGCATCGGAGGAGGATTAAGACACAATATCACATAATTATTAGAGGTTTTTGACAGGAATAAGATATATACTTTATGAATTATTGGACATTCGATACCACAGTGATGAATTTTTCTCTCTTACAGGCTTTATTGCTTTTTCCACGATGCCAGAGCTAGCTCATAAAATAAAAATATATTTTGCCTTAGCCCCTATAGCCACTGTTAAATATGCAAGAAGTCCTGGTACCAAATTTCTGCTGCTGCCAGATATGATGATCAAGGTATGTGACAGCGCAGATGTCTCAGTCTGCAGGGAATTATTTCTTACAATACATGCTTTAAATAGAAACCATTTCTGTTCCTGGGTATATTGTCATGGATATTATTTCATCTCTTATCTTCACAGGGATTATTTGGCAGACAGGAATTTTTATATCAGACTAGATTTTTCAGACAGCTTTTTATTTACCTTTGTGGCCAGATGATTCTTGACCAGATCTGCAGCAACATCATATTACTTCTGGGGGGATTTAACACAAACAACATGAACATGGTGAGTAAGAACTTCATTTCCTAAGGAAGGCTGAGAGTTCTTAGTCTTGGTCCTTGAAAATGAGCTAGCACCAGCCAAGGGTTGGAGAAATGATGTGCAACATGTAATTTGCAATTTCCTAATTGTAAAGAAAAGAATTGTCAAGCTTCAGGAGAGGATAATCCAAGGTTAACGCGAAAGCATTGCCAGACCCTAACTTGACAGGTTACAGGCAAGGTTGGAAACCTAAGGGAAATAAATGCATGGAGAAAAGTAAACCAGGAAACTGGAAGTCAATCAACCAGACATCATTCATCTCTGCCTCCATGTGGGGACTTTTGATTTGCACTTGAAGTTCTGTGATGGGAATGGGAATTTCAGCTTGGCTTAGGTATAGATTCTGGTGGCATCACCAGGTGAGTTCTCTAGCATGTTTGAGTTGAAGAGTCATGTACAAAATGATGTGGCTCCTGAGATAATTCCTAGAGAAGGAAGGACAATGGACTTGGGGCCATGAGGTAACATCAAACAAGCTGAAGGTGACCCTCTAGGACAGCGATTCTCCAAACCTTAGGTCATGATCCCCACAGAGGTCACATATTCCGATATTCTGATATTTACATTATGATTCACAACAGTAGCGAAATTACAGTTATGAAGCAGCAATGAAAATAATTTTATGGTTGGCAGTCACCACAACATGAGGACCTGTATTAAAGGGTGGCAGCATTAGGAAGGTTGAGAACCACTGCTCTAGGATTCATGAAGGTAGACTAATCCTACAGAGATGATAGTGAGGGAGATTTTGACCAAGGCATGGATCTTCAGGCAAGAGATCCCTGTGAGAGCTCACCATGGAGGGCTGCCTGTCTGTAGCATTCTTATTGACTGGAGTAATACCTTTTATTCCTAAGAAATTTTCTCTTTAAAGAAAAAAACAATTAACTTATAGCCACCATTTAGCAGGTATTTGTACTGTGACAGGATAGACTTTTCCTGGCAACAAACCCAAGAGACCAGTATTATTAATATCTGCACTGTATGGGTTAGTATACTGAACTCAGGTGTTTATTAACTTTCCCAGATTCACCCCAAAATTAAATAATAGAGCTAGTTCCAGAACTCAAGTACTTATCCTAGATGTCTCTAGTAAAGTTGCTTATTTATTATTACTTAATCTATTTTTGCAGTGCTGGGGTTGAAATTTGTAAGGTCTTTTTCATGAGAAGCCATTCTCAAATGAACAACACCTTTTCATAAGAAGGCAGTGGCAGCTGATTTACACACACATGCACTTTTCTGTTTAGTAGATTATGGCCACTGATTTAATGAGGCTCCCATTTCTTAACCTGACACCATGGAGGTTTGCTCTTAACAAGACTGAGATCTGACCCCCTACGTCATTATGCTTTATTACAGAGCCGAGCAAATGTGTATGTCGCCCACACACCTGCTGGAACATCTGTACAGAATATTCTCCACTGGAGCCAGGTAAGAATGCCCAGCTTGCAGCCTGGATGAGAAACCTTGTGTTTGGAATAGTCACATAGCCTGAAAGTTTCTGTTTACCCTGAGCTGGAATTCAGCCACTGAGATTAGAATGTGAACTTACTTGAAATTTCCAGTGACAGGAGACTAGGGCAGAAAGTGGCTTAAGCCTGTCTTTATTGCATCCTGAGAATGCACCATTCAAATGAGACTCTTCTCTTGTTGAAGTCAGAGACCCAAAGACTGATGAAGGAAATTATGTTTCTCACTGTCCTTACTGGCTTTTTGAGAAGCCCAGTCAAGACAGAACACAAATGTTTAGGTGGGCCAAAATGCAGAACGAAATTTTCACAGGATTTCTTGGTATTGTAAGCCTTACAGTCTCAGGAGATCTCTCCTCCCTCCCCCTCTCTCTGTGTGTGTGTATGAGAGAGAGACAGAGACAGAGAGACAAAAAGGGACAGAGAGGAAGGGAGGGCAGAAGGAAGGAGGGATGGAGGCAAAAATAGATGGAGGAAGAGAGGAAGGGAGGAAGGGAGGAAGAAGAGAGACAGAGACGGAGAGACAGAGGAGGTCAGTAGAGAAGATATGGGCACTGTCTCCCATCAGCATGGCATTGCAGCACTATCATGACATCTGGAGCTGTACTGAACACTTATCCACACTGATACACTAGCGATATAGATGCAGTGGCAAAGCTCTGCTGCATGCTGTATTCCTTGCTGAAAGAGCCAGACTGTTGCCTTGCACTCTTCTAAAAAGACTCCCAGAGTGGAGTGAGAGAATAACCCAGAGACCGTGGTTTTCTGCTTTTCTCACAACCAAATATGGGATACACATTTGGATACCCCATCTCTCCCTTTAAATACCCTTTCCTTCTTTCTTTCTAGGCAGTGAATTCTGGTGAACTTCGTGCCTTTGACTGGGGAAGTGAGACCAAAAACCTGGAGAAATGTAATCAAGTAAGACTGTCAAGCACCACCTGCTAAAAATACATCAATCTTCAGAAATGTGTGAGAGGGAAGTTACAGTGATATGTGATTCCAGAGATAGGAATAAAATTCAGAAATTCAAAGCCTAACTGCATCTGAAAATGGGCAAGTACACATCTTAGCCAGTACCCTCGTTATATCGCCTTTGACTGTCTTCAAACCTGTCACTTTAGAGAGAACATTCAGGTTCTAAGATGTTTTTCATCTATGAGGATTTTTGTGGGCTGAGTTCTAGAGACAATGGTGAATGCAGACTAGGCATGAGAGACCATCAATGAAGGGAAGAAAAAACAAATTTGAGGGAAGATGCTATAGAGGGTGTTAGCTTTAGATAGGTGGGGTATTTAGGTCAAGATGGAGCATTACTCACACCAGAGTGTCCTTCTGCCCTGCATCTAAATTAGACAGCCACTTCAGTTCTTAGGGAGCCAGGAAGACAAAGAAGCTCTCTAGGATTGAAGCTGTGACTTGCTCTTGATTTCATGCTAAGAAACTGGCCTCCATGGTTCTATGGAAATTTCTGAGTGTTGACTGATCTCAATGACTCAAACTGCCAGGAAAAATCCAGCAGCATTCCCTAAACCGAAGTTCCTTGGATAGAAAAGACTTCTTTGCATGATTTAGGGTGAAGCTGAGTATGGGGTTGGGACAGGTATATTATCTTTGTCCTCCTTAGTTTAGAGTAGCTGAGTGCCTGGGGTTAATTCGTAGTTTCTTCTGGTTTGGAGGGTTCAGTGAAGCTGAACCTCCACTGTGCCCGCTGGGGATACACAGGCCTTTGTAACAGGTTTCCTTATCTTTTCTGTCGAATATCTTCAGTTCTTGTCCCATAACTATACCTACCAAGGACAATATTTAAAAGGAAATTTATGTATAAAATGTTTGATAAGGAAAGTACAGATTATTCAATGTCTAAAATACAACATAGGGACTATAGTGCCTCTTAGTGGCAGAACATGTGTTCAGCATGCATAAGGTCCTGGGTTAAATCCCTATGGACTCACACACACACACACACACACACACACACACACACACACACACACACACAATTATTTTCTATGCCTTCTCACAGGATCTAGTAAGGTGTTAGAGCTATTATCTCCATTTCACATGGAGAAACTAAAGTTGAATCACACTAAGTAAGTTTTCCTTAAAATTGGACCTGGAATAGAAACTCTTAACAGAGTTCTACATGACTCTAACTGCTGTAAACACTTTTGATCACAACCCAGGACATGTTCATTATGTTTACTTGCAATAGAAGTTATAAATTTGGATGTTAAAATATTATGTGAAATTTAAACTATTCTTTCTATCTAGCCTACTCCTATAAGGTACAAAGTTCGTGATATGATGGTCCCCACAGCAATGTGGACTGGGGGTCAAGACTGGCTTTCAAATCCAGATGATGTGAAAACCCTGCTTTCTGAAGTGAGCAACCTCATCTATCACAAGAACATCCCTGAGTGGGCTCACGTGGATTTCATCTGGGGGCTGGACGCCCCTCACCGTGTGTACAATGAAATCATACACCTGATGAAGCTGGAGCCCAACCTTTCCCAGGGAACCTGCAAGGTCACATTGTGAAGTTCTGCTGTTAGAAAATCCTGAAATAAGGTCACATAGTGGGTGAGGCTGCAGGAGAAAGATTTTCAAGGGAGTTTCTAGGCTTGGAAATGTGCTACATCAGTTAAACGGAAGGATAAAGATGTGGGAATGCCAGAAGACCTGCTGGTCTAAACGAAAGCTTTCGTTTTTTTTTCATTTGACACTAAAGCTGATACACTTTTTTCCAGTAGGTTTAGCTAAGTTGGAGAACATAGGTTTCCTGTGCTTAGGATCTTCTACTGTCTTGCTGTGTAGTTATGACTTGACCAACAGAAAGTATCTAGATATTCATTATATCATTCCCCCTTTCTAAATTAGATTTTGTTTCTGTAAGTTAAATTTTGGAGCAGTAAAGTAAAAGGAAGAATTGGGACAGAGATTAAAATGTATATCTTTGGACTATTTACTTGGATAAAATGAACTGGACATTGCCATCTCATTGCCATAAAGACAGGGTATTGCTTCAGGAAGCTATTTGGACAACAACAGAAAAATGAAATTATGGTATATGTGGAATCTAAGCTAAACAACCTTAGAACAAAGATATTTTATAGGGTATTTATGAGTTTTTCAATAAATTATGTATCTCATATAGCATATTGTGTGTCAGTACTGAGATTTTTCAGCTGCTATTAGGAGACCAGCTGGTCCAAACGAAAGCTATGAAGAAACATTTGTAATGTCCAGAGGAGAATGAAATAAATTGTTGTATAGTTTATCTTCTCATCAAAGCATAATCACTCAAAGATAATCTCCCAACTCATTTATAAATCTAGATTTAAGTCCTTAGAAATTTCTTTAATTTTCACACAATTTCAAAAGATGGCAAGTTACAAATTATGAATATTATTTGGCAGTCTTCTCTGAAGACAAATCAGAACTCTACTATGCCTGTTGGAGGCACCTGTTAGGAATATACAGGTGTCTGTTGAACACATCTTAGACTGTGAAGTTCATCTGTCCTGCCCAGGGTTACCCGATAACTTAGTTCAATGTAGATGAATCGTACATAATTTCCTTAGAGCCTTCAGGATGCTACATATACACTCAGGTTCTGTACATAGCTTTGTAAACATTTCCAGAGTGTATTTTCATTGATCCTTTTTGTATCCAAGGAAAGTAATCTTTCATTGTTAACTGTTTTGGCTGCAGTGTAGCCTGACTTAGTCCATTTCTACAGCTGTACCTGGATCATCTGTTTTTTCAAAAGTCACTCATGAGGCAGATTTATTTCCATTCAGTGTCATTCACAAAAGAAGTAAGGCTGATAGTTTGGTATTCATAACCTCTCACCTAGAAATATAACCCAAATACTTCTCTGCTTCTATGAAGAAGTAAGACCTTTAAACAAATCAGTTATAATATTTCAAGTTTTGTCAATTAGACTAAAAAAAATTGGGACTGAGATAGTAGCTTTGTGATAGATGACACTTGATTCCCAATGCCAAAAAAAATGGAAAATAGATAAATAAATATCAGCTAACTTGTGTTCACAGGAAAATTCTTTATTTCTGGTGTTGGGCATTAAACCCAAGGTGTTTTGGTTGTTGTTGTTTTTATTTGTTTGTTTTGATTTGATTTGGTTTTGGTTTTTCAAGACGGGGTTTTTCTGTGGCTTTGGAGGCTGTCCTGGAACTAGCTCTTGTAGACCAGGATGGTCTTGATTTCACAGAGATCCACCTGCCTCTGACTCCAAGTGCTGGGATTAAAGGCATCAGCTACCACCACCCAGCTAAACCCAAGGTTTTATGCATAGCAAACACATGATCTACCACAGAGCTACAACTTCAGCCCCATAAGAACTCTGTACAGACATTTTTGATACTTACATAAATTATAAACTAAAAAACATTTATTTATAAACTGATGGTGAAATGTATGCTGGTATGTAGGTCAGCCAGCCCCTGGCAAACAATAAACACCAGTTCTTCAATGGAACATGTGCCAATTTCTACGGTTTAGACAAACTCATAGCTGACATCTGAGAGATGTTTTATTGAATATTTTCGATCAAAGGAATACTTATTCTGGAGTCTTTAACTCCCCACATATGTGTGTATTGCTGTTTAAATACACATGCTCTGATTGTTTGGCTTAGTATGTCAGGGGCCTGTGAAGAGCCATTTGTCTCCCTGGACAGGATGTAGGGCAAAGTTTTCTGAAGGATGACACAATTGGGAAGCGAAAATATTACCTCAGGTAGCTCTGACTTGTTTTTAGAAGACACTGAATTAGAATTTTTTTTAAAAAATCAGTTTTGACAGTAATAGAGATTCCAACAAGTGTAATGGGTCCTTCAGAGGATCCTCGCCATGGTGACCTCCACTGAATAAAAGTCCAGGGCTTGTCACAAGGCTGATGCATCCAGCTTGAGTGGCCACAGAGCAATCACCCAAGACAGGGACAACATCCAGTCCTTCAGCTGTGTCTCTGTTGCCACTGAGAAGTCCCAGGACTATGAGGCTTTCTTTAGCATCGATACAATCTGGGAAAATTTTAGTCTCTGTGCGATATCCAGTGAACTCTCACCATGCTGTAGAAAAAACAGATGTCTATAAGGACTAGTCAGCAGGTCATACAGGGTGTTGATTCTCAGACTTTGTGGAGGCTTCAAATAGCCTCCTGTTCAAATACATGCATGCATAGTCTAAAGAAAAAGTAACAGACTGGAAGGCATTCAGTGCCCTACCTGGGCAGCTGAGTGAGACCCTGTCTCAAAATTTACAAAGCAAATGGGTTTTGGACACGAGGCCCAGTTGTAGAGCCCTTGCCCAGCATATTAAACATGCTGTGTTTAATCCCAAATGTGAAAAATATTGATACATGTTTAAATTTCAAAAATAGAAGGAGTGTGATCTTTCTTTCCTTAAGAGGACCAATTAATTACTGTAACTCACAGGAGAGACAGTGAACTCACTTGTACAAGAGACACAGATGAGAAAAGCTTGCACCAGGAAGGAGCACAGTTGCTAGGCCCTTACCTTGTTCCTGATCATGGGGTCTGCATGGGCTTTCAGAAGCAGGGGGATGAGCGTCTGGTTTTTCATCTGGCATGCATAATGCAAAGCAGTGTAGCCATACTGAAACACAGAGGTATTAAACTCATCTTCATTTAAATACAAATAAAATATAATATTAAATAATATAAATAATTAATAGAAACAAGAATGAGGTCGACATTTATCACAAAACAATGGTAATGCCCAGAGAATAAGTTAAGCACCACAAATGGGAATTTAAGTCCTTTTAAATCAAGTTTCAATTTGCCCTTTTTGCTAAAATATTGGAAATCTAAAATTTTATCTAACCAACATAAGAAAATGAAACAATGGGATAATAAAATTTCAGCTGACCCTGAGCATCAGCAAAAGTAAATCTGGAGTAAAAGGGGAAAAGGAAATCTTCCACTGCCTTGTGGGAAGGAGGGAGCTGACGGTGCTTTGGATATTGCGGCTCCTATAAACACTGGGGTTTTTCTCTGAACTTTGACCTTATCTCTCTTCCATTTATGAAAGAGACCTCTCTTCTAGTGACTGAGATCATGATGGCAGCAACTGTTAACATGCAGTAAGCACTGACTTCATTCTAATCTCTTCTGAGGACTTCACTGGAACCTGTCCTATAAGGTCAGTACTAATTTTCAATTTGCAACTAGGCATATTGGACAGGTGTGTAATACCAGATATTCATGAGTCTAAAGCTGAAGGGTCACAAGACCAAGGCCAGCCTGAATAATTTAACAAAAAGTTGTTTCATAACAAACAAACAAAAATTTAAGAAGGATATGTATAGCTCAGTGGTAGAGTATTTACCTAGCATGTATGATGTTCTGAGTTCAGGCTCCAGCACAATTTGTTTTAATCTCCATTTTATAGATGAGAAAATTGAGCCAGATGTGCTTATAGTGTTCCAAGCCCATTTAACTAATAAATGGCAAGATTAAATGTACAAATAGGCATTACACCTAACTTCAGCTGCCAAACTGTTAAGGATAGTATTTTAGCATCATTTTCCCTAAGGTATCACTATAGTCAAATGAAAATTATTTTAGATTTGTATGCTCATGCATTTAGCAGAAGAATACCAATAACTTCAAAGTTACCTGAAGACAATGAGAAAAAAGAAAACAAAACTCTATAAACATCGAGAAAATAAAGCATGCAACTTTGTCAACAACAAGTATTCTATCAAGGTATATCATCTGAGGATTATTTTAAATTGCAAACATACACAGTCAGTAGCATTAACTTCAACACCAGCATCAAGGAGCATGCGCACAAGATTCTCGTTCTGCTTCGTCTTTGATACCTGTTGCGAACAACAAGTATAAGAAAGTGTTACACAAACATTTTGTACATCTTGCTTGGGACTGCTTCAATCAATTGGCTGCATGTTAATCCATGCTCCTACTTCTTAACACACACACACACACACACACACACACACACACACACACACACCCTACAGTATCAGTTAAACCACAGTACTCAAGCTTTGCTTCAGGAACATAAGTTTCATCATCCAGGAATTTGTTAAGAATGCACATTCAAAGGCCTAACCCCATTTCTGCCACATCATATGAGAAAGAGATCTAGTTCCTGTCTCCCCCTTGTGAGCTCAAAAGTTTCAATTCCCATATATCAAAGTTCTTGAGTGGCCCTAGGCCATATGGCCTTAACCTTCTTGTGTATTTTACCTCCTGGCTCCCCAACCCGTTACAATGGATTTTGTTAAGTCTTCATTTCCTACTGAGTATTCTCCTTGCAGAGAAACATGTCATAGGATATTTCTTTAACTGGAAGCTTTCTTTGCCTAGACATTTGTTTGTGATACTCCCAATCTGTGTCCCTTTTCTGTGGCTTTCCATGGCCTACCTGGTCAGGTAAAATCCTTTTTTTCTAGACTTTTATAATGGCCCATATCCTCTGAGTCCCCGGATTTATAGTAATTTCCCGCAAATCCATGTCATCCAATAGCAACCAACTACCCATTATGTTGTAACTGATGAGAGCAAAGACTGCCCTTGTTTTTTCCCATAACATCTGGCCTGCACATAAGGGGGTCCTACATAAACATACAGTGAAGGGCAGGAGAATGGTACAAGGTGAAACTCCTCAGAAAAGTGCTTTTTGCCTGTTAAGATTCTGACCACACTACGGTAGGAACCTTCCTCCATGCTGCTCACCTGAGGAGACAAAGACCTTGCTGCTCATATAAGCAAGGCCTGGCATTTTTCCCATGCAACCTCTGAAGCTCCAGTTAGGTGTCTTCCCTACTGTGCTGTCCTTCTGTGTCACCTTATAAATTCTTTCTGCTCTGCCCCTTCTCTGAAGTCACTTAGTCATTTCTAGTCATTTCCCCTGTAATTCATCCCAAGATACCTATTCCTTGTGTAGCATAAACTTACCATCCCAGGTCTCCCTAATAGTGTAGGTATGCAGTTAAAGCTGGGCTACTGGTTACAGTCAGTGTCTTTACCTAGACCTCCAACTTCTGGACCATGTTTGAAAGCAGAGCTATGTGTGACAGTGAATTCTGAACAAGCCTTAGTCATCATCTTGGAATGCATTTCTTCAAAACCTCTAAAATGCAAGCGAATGTCAGATTCTTTGTGCCCATAAACGACAAATGTTCAAATAATGTGAGATAAAGACACATGCAATTTCTTTTCAAAAAGCCTCCAAATATGTGTGCTCAGATGGTGTGTTCAGAAGTGAATTAAAGGATTCTCAACATGTTCCTTAAATTCTGCATCCTTTAAGTACCTAAGTAGAAAATAGCATTTTCAACTGGCAGAATTTGTACTGAAACTTGTGTTAACAGGGATAACTAATGCCTATTGTCTGCTATCTATAAAAAGGAGGTAGCATAGCAATTTATTTAACCTGGTTAAGGGATGCACTGTTTTAGTTATCTCTCCATGATGGGGCTCATCATGATGGGACCCAGGTAGGAAAACAGTGAAAGAATTAGTGCAGATTAGTCTTCCTATTTGAGGAAAACAAAAAGCAAGCAAAATAGCCAACTTTGATCTTCTACTTAGTATGATTCTTACACTATCTACCTACTTATTTATTCAAGAAAGTTATCCTGCCAAAGACCCATGCCAGTGTGATTCAGTTCCTCAAGGTGAGAGGTTGGGTCAGAACCTCCAAAAATACCTTCAGTGATTGTCAGCTTCCAGAGGCAGGGGACTTGAGATTTTTCCTCCTTAAAATTCAGAAACTTGGGGAGAGATGATGTAAAACACAAACATCAGTCAGTGATTCTGAGACTCTTGTACTGCTGGGTGATGGAGGTGAATTACAAATCCCAGTGTGACCAGCTAGCTGGTAACACCCTGTATTTATTCTAGAATGCACTGTGATGCTAAGACACAGCATATGACAGGTTGCATAAAGCACATGCATTTTCACTTATGGGAGGTTCATTGAGATAGGACCCCACTGTAAGTCAAGAAACACCTGCACAACCCAAGGGCTTATTTTGTTGCCATTTCTTTACATCACACTGCCGGAAGAAACCTGATGAGTCACTATATGGCTGTTCTACACATCTGCCCTTCGCCCTAGCAACAGTACTCACCATGAGGAAATACCCGATAAGCAAGACAGGCATTAAAAGGATAATGAGTAGATAATCAAAGAAGGTAAACCTCTTCTTCACAGCATAGTGCAAGCAGGTTCTCTCCTTCTATAATTAAGAAAAGGATTCTTTAACTTATATTCCATAGCTTTTAGATTACCATACCAAAAGACTTAATTCATGCTTTTTTTTCAATTTCTAAGGTGCCCATTTCAAGTAGTACAGAGTTACTGACATTATCTTCAGGTCTCTTAAACAAACATATATAGGATTTTAAAATGTGGGACTATACCGCATATTCAAAACCATATACTGCATATGCATTTTCAGTTTAAGTGCCTCCTTTTGTGATACACATCTGATTTAATTAACTCAGAGTTTTGTTCACTAGAATGTTGAATTTGTATACTATGAAGGAAACACTAGGGAAGGACCAAAAATGAACAATAGAGATAGGTGTACATGCAGACCATCACAGAACAAATCCTCATGCTTGTTTTGGTTTTTGAGAGAAGATAGATAGATAGATAGATAGATAGATAGATAGATAGATAGATAGATATAGATATAGATATAGATATAGATATAGACAAAGGAATGAAGTCAGCATGAAAAGATACAGAGATATAGATAGCGCTTGGTCACCGGTGTGGGTTCTGAATGTGGACCCACCCTGGAGAATTAGTTTTTATTGGACTCCTGGATCCAATCATGCCCCAAGTGTGACCTTTCCAGGGAGTTAGTGCCATCAGTGGGAAATCCTTCACAGGTGCCCTTGTGAGTGCTTGTTTCATCCCAGAGGGTCCTTCCTGAGGTCTGACATACTCTTATAACTCATGCAGCTGTTCCTCTGTGGACTCTGGCTCTAATTCCACACCGCTGAATACTGTACCATTTTGATGTTGTGTCTTCCTAGCAGACTAAAGGTTCTGCTGGACATGTGCCTGAGACGGTTTTCCTAGTACCTTACCTTCCTCTATTGCTTATGCAACCAACTTTTGTCTCTTTCCTGTTTTTTTTAATGCCTATAACTGAAAGTGTAGCATAGATTCTGAACTCTGTCTGACACTATGATTCTGGTTCAGCAGTGCTCTGTTTTATTGTCTCTCACTGATAGGTAAGAACTCCCCTAACTGTACCAGTCTTCCTGGGGGGGACTCCAGACTCCCTCCCATTCTGATTGTAAAATTTCCATTTTTACTTTTCTACAGAAATAAGAGATTTTGACAGCTGTTATCCAGCATTCCGTAGTTCACTCCCTAGAGATTCTAGTGGACCATTCTTGTATGTCATATACCATCTTCCAATATTCAGATTCAGATACTTCCTATTGCAATGTCTTCGTCTCCAGCAGAGCCTATAGTGTGCTTGGATAACCTAAGGATGTTACTATAAAACCTGCTGGAGACAAAGAAGTTGGTGAGGTAGAGGCTGTGTGAGGACATGCAGACACATAAAGGAGAACAAGGGAGAACAGCCTCTTCAACAAACGGTTCTGGTAAAATTGAATGTCCACATGTAGAAGAATAAAGCTACATCCCTATCTTTCAAACTGTACAAAAATAAAGTCCAAAGAGGACAAACATCTGAATGTAAGAGCATGCATATCATAATACTCTGAAACTGCAGTGGTAAAGTAGGGAAAACACTTCAAGATGTAGACATAGACAAAGACTCTCTGAATAAAATTCTGGTTGTGAAAGAACTAATGACAACTGACATGTGGGACTTCCTGGGATAAAACATGTCTGCATGGTAGAAGAAATAATGGTTCAAGTGAAGATTGAGCCAACTCTACAACTGACAGGAGATTGGTACCTAGAATTCACAAAGAACTGAAAAACCAAAATGACAAGAAATCAAACCACTCAATAAAGGAGCAAATGAAAAGACAGACTATTCTCAAAAGGTGATTTATAAATGTTTAACAAACAAGAAGAAAAGATGAATGTCACTAACCATAAGAGAAATGCAAATTAAAATTCTATTAATATTCTATCCATCCCTGTCAAAACAACAGTCCCCAGGAATACAAATCAGTAACAACAAACACTAACAAGAATGTAAACAAAAAGGAATGCTAATACAGTGTGGGAATGTACCTAGTCCAGCCACTGTGGGAAATCAGCATAGCTGTACCTCAAACACACACACACACACACACACACACACACACACACACACACACACACACACAGACACACAAAGACAGATCTATCACATGGTCCTGCTACACCACTCCTGGGTATCACCTCCAAATCATCACAGATACAATGTTTGCACATGTTTACAGCATCACACTTCATGATAGCTAAGTTATCAGGCTAAATGAAATGCCCATCACCAGAGTAGTAAATGAGCCAAATGTGGTACATAGGCATATGGAAATTTTTAGCTATGAAGAAAAAATGAAGTCATACTGTTCACACACAAAAAAAATGGGTGTAACTGGAGATAGTCAAGTGACGTGAACTAAGTCAGTCATGGAGAAACATCCCATTTTCTTCCATTGGTGGGTTGTAGACTTTACAAAGACACATACAGTCATGTACCAACATTTAAGATAAAATAGAAGCAAAACTGTCTTAGGTAACAAAGGAGAGGAAAGAGAAGATAAGGAGGATGGAGAATATGTTCAAAGTACAGAATGGATTTGAGTGAAAATACTCTCATGTAACCCAGCACCAAGTACATGAATATGTGTCAGTGAAAAAAATCATAAAAAATCCAACCTATATAAAAACAACAGATAAAAATCTAAATAATGGCAGGCAGTGTCGCCTGTCCCCCATTATTTTTGCAATACTGAAGAGAGCAAGAAGACAAGATGGGTTGAAGGAAGCAGAACAGGAAAGGAGAGCCTGCCTACAACCAACAGAGTGCACCATCCTCTTTTTCAGAGGCACAATGACATCACCAAGAAACATCCCTGCTGGCTGAAATGCTTTACTTTTGCTTTCAGTCTAGCAAGACACTAGCAGGAAAAAGAGAGTTGTTGATATTTAGAAGTTATAAGAAGAAAAACCAACACTCAGCAATTCCAGCATTTGAGGAGAATCTTCACAGTTACCCTCTCCCCTTCTGTCACAGTCCCATCACAACCTCCCCTGGTTCTGTTTGCTTGCTTTGGTTTGCCTACTTAATTATTTTAACTTATTTTATTTGCTCTTCTTTTGGCAGATATCAGAGCTACACTGCTTATTCTAGCCATATAGTCTTTTTTCTTTTGCTGTATACAGTTTGTAAATGTATCTGTGAGGACAAAATGTTTGGCTAAAGACACATTCCAGAATGTTCCCATGTATTTTTCTGAGTTATGGCAATTGAAATTGCAGAATAGATACTATACCATTCTATTAGACCATCATTACACAGCAAACTCACCAAGTTTTTGAGGTTGACATCAGCATTTCTTCTTAAAAGGAAGGAGACAATTCTCACATGCCCTCGCCTGCAGGCGCAGATGAGGGGAGTGTCTCCGTTGAAGCCATCTTGAACATCCACATAACAGTTGTCTTCTTTTACCCACCGCCACACCTGCCCCAAGTCATTCTGGTAGGCTGCCTGGCAGATGGGCTGAGTCAAGAAGAGCAGAACAGTTCTTGAAATACAGGCATGAATCACTGAGAATAACAAAAACAAAAAAGAACAAACAAGAAAACCACTACTCTAAGTCTAGGATATATCCATGAAGATCTGTTTACCTTTCCCAAAATTGCTTGCCGCATGGAACAGGCAGAAGAGAAGTGAATGAATGAGCAAATAAATGGGAGAAACATTATGACTCTCATTCACTAAGAACGTTTTCATATCATAATTGAAAATTAAAGAGATTTTCAAAAAAAAGCAAAATCTGGCTAAAGTGGACTGCATTGGGAAGGAAAGAGTTCGGGGCTACAGTGGGTAACAAAAATACATATGACTTTCTCTGCATCGGGTAAAGGCACTTGCCACCAAGCTTGATGATCTGAGTTCTGACCTAGGAACCCATAAAGAAGAAGTAAAGAACCAACTTCTGCAAAATGTCCTCTGACTCTACACCTACACTATAGCATAAGCACGCGAGTACTCACACAAAAATAAGCAAATACAAAAAGCAAATGATGGACTTCAGACTCTTCTGCCTTTGAAAGCAGATTACCACAGTGTCTCTCCAGGGTCTAGGACCTTTTGTCATCTGGAGCTCTGGAGCTATGTCATTGATTCCCCCTTTTTGCTTTTATTTGCTGGTGTCAAATTCCTTGAGCATAGTTGGCTCTGGCCTCCCAGGCTCTGCAGCCTACAAATTACTATTGTAGGATTTTTTTCAGCCTCTGATTGTGTAAACGAATCTAATAAATATTCCCTTTAAAATTATGGCTGCATTCTATTGGCTCTGTGCTTCTGGAGAACTGGGTCTGCTATGAAGTTTGGGAGCAGGTAACTTTGAAGGTATAATCTCTTGTCAAATTTTTAAATAATTCTACAACAGTTTACCTTCTTGCTTCTCTTTAAATTGTTATAGATTTCATAATGCTGAACCATATTACAAAAAGGACACTAGCTAATTGGTGATTAGTGGCAACTGTTTGCAGTAATCCACAGTTCCCACAGCTCCCCATTATACCATACCTGGTCTATTTCAACTATCTATGGCCTTACTGACTCCTACTTCCAAGATCGAAATCCCTCTTCTTTGTTTCGCAAAAGATAAAAGAACCCAGATACTGGTATTTGGATTCAACCTTCAAGCTGAAGATCGGAAAAGCAAAGTAGTTGATACTACCTCAGGCCCAAATGGCTGATCCACCAGTTCTTTCAAGCCTTAGACTACTGCCTCTCCTCAGTGTGGCTGGAGAATTCTGAGACTTCTTTTTTTGTTGTTTTGTTTTTCTCTTTTTTTTCTTAGGAAGTTTTATTTTATTTTATTTTTATTTAGGTTAGAAACAATCTTGTTTCACATGTCAATCCCAGTTCCCTCAATGTCTTCCTATCCTCAATGTGACTGGAGAATGAATGTCAGCTCTGAGACCCTGTTCCTGTCTTGTATACCTCTCGTGAGTCCTGGGATTAAAGCCATGTGAGCTGTTGCTATTTAGGACTGGATATATTTTGTGTGGCCTTGAACTAACATAGATCTGTCTTCTCTGCCTCCCAAGTGATGGGATTAAAGGTATGTACCACCAGCACCTGATCTCTATAGCTTGTGACTGACTTTGCTTTCTGAATGCTCAGGCAAGCTTTGATAAATCATAAATAATATATCACCACTCTTCTTGGATTCTTTAAAATGTTTACTGAGTAAAACTAAAAATAGGAAGAACAAGAGATAGCTACTGGTGACTTTCCCACTTTGCACAGGGAATATTACTTAAATATGGCCTGATCATCTGAACAGTTTCTGTTTTTTGAAAAGTTAAGTATTAGAGGCCAGGGGTAACTTAGTGTTAGAGCTGATGCTAAATGTATGCAAAGCCCTGGGTTCATGTGTGTGTGTGTGTGTGTGTGTGTGTGTGTGTGTGTGTGTGTGTGTGTGTTTGTGTGTCTGGTTGTGTACACAAAAAATAAATAAATAAACCACTGTGGCGGTGTGAATAGGAATGGCCCCAATAGGTTCACATATTTGAATGCTTAGTCCCTACTTGATGAACTTTTTGCAAGGATTAAGAGGTGTGGCCTTTTCGGAATAGATGTTGTAGGGATGTGACAGAGAGCCCTAATGTGATGATACAGTGTTATTGCCTGCTTTATGCCAGGCATTTAGTGACACTCCCTCTAGAGTGCTCAGATCTATGTAATAATTTGCACATAACTCCCCTATGATGGCTAAAGAAACTTAATATGGTTGCAGGCATCCCTAAGGGCCCTGACACACCTGTGAGATCCTAGTGGCCTGCAGGTGAGATAAGACTAGGGTAATGGTGCTCCTGCTGTGAGGTGTCTAACTACTTGTTTTCTGCTTATGCAAACTTGCTGTTTAACTGCTTGCTTTTGCAGTGGGACTCGGATGAGGTGGCCTTTTATTACTATCCAAACAGAAAGAGAAACAACTGAGGGGAGTAAAACCATTTTCTTGTGCAGTTGTGAATTTCATAGATAATGTAATGTCCACCTTTGCTATTCACCTTTATAACCCTCCCTTTAGCCCCCTTATGTATGGCATGATTTGGCTCTAAGGCTCTGTCCTTCTGCTAGCAATAAGAGTAAATTCATTTAATTTAGGTGTGGCATGATGTTTGGCTCTAAGGCTGCTGTCCTTCTGCTAGAAGTAAGAATAAATTCATTTAATCTAAATTTGAAATGAGTCTAAGTTGTTCAGCTTTTCCAGTAGATTTGAACTTTTGAGGTGTGGCCTTCCTTATTGAAGGAGGTGTACCACTGGCAATGGCTCTGAGAGTTTCCCTTTCTACCTGGTGCCTACATATCATGATGTAGTTCTCAGCTACTACCCCAAAGCCATGCACACTGCCATGCTCTCCCCCAGGATGATAATGGACTGGCCCTCTGAAATGGTAAGCTGCCCTTAACAAACTCCTTTCTTTTACAAGAGTTGTCACAGGCATGCTGTCTCTCCACAACAATAAAACAGTGACTAAGACACTCACTGTTCTGTGTGGTTCTGTTTGGTCTCAAATGAGTCAGTTTATTAAGCACGTGGTGAACAAAAGAAAAAGAACAAATATGCAAGTACCGGATAGAAGCAGAGTGTAGATAGCAAAGATCAAGTCAGGAGTTCACATCTGAGATGACTGAAGTGGGTTTACTGAAAGAACAAAGCAAGGCTTGCAATCGTCCAGGAAAGATCAACTAGGGAAGCTGAGGCAGTCCCCTGAGGTTCCCAACTGAGCTTTCTCCATAAGTGAGTCTCCCATGCTGAACGTCCAGTTTCTGCTAGTTTCTTGCCTACCCAAAGGCATCTTACACAACGGGGACAAACAACAGTAACTTCTGGTGGAAAACACTTAAACTGAACCGATTCCCTGCTGTTTTGCACTGTTTCCAGTAGGAGGCAGCTTGGTGTAAGAAAAGTACACAGGCCAGTGGCACAGGCACTGAGATCGACAATTAACAAATGGGACCTTCTGAAACTAAAAAGCTTCTGTAAGGCAAAGGACACAGTCAGCAAGACAAAAAGGCAGCCCACAGAATGGGAAAAGATATTCACTAACCCTACATCTGACAGAGGGCTAATCTCCAAAATTTACAAAGAACTCAAGAAACAAGTCTCCAAAACACCAAAGGATCCAATTAAAAGGTGGGGTACAGAGCTAAATAGAGAATTCTCAGTAGAGGAGGCTAAAATGGCCAAGAGACACTTAAGAAAGTGCTCAACATCCTTAGCCATGAGGGAAATGCAAATCAAAACAACTCTGAGATACCATCTTACTCCTGTCAGAATGGCTAAAATCAAAAACACCGAAGACAATTTATGTTGGAGAGGATGTAGACAGAGAGGGACACTCCTCCACTGCTGGTGGGAGTGCCGACTCATACAGCCTCTTTGGAAATCAGTATGGAGATTCCTCAGGAAAATGGGAGTTAATCTACCACAAGACCCAGCAATTCCACTCTTAGGCATATATCCAAATGAGGCAAGTTCATACAACAAGGGCATCTGCTCCACTATGTTCATAGCAGCATTATTTGTAATAGCCAGAACCTAGAAGCAACCTAGATGCCCCTCAACTGAAGAGTGGATAGAGAAAATGTGGTACATTTACACAATGGAGTATTACTCAGCAGAAAAAAATAATGGAATCTTGAAATTCGCAGGGAAATGGATAGCACTGGAAGAAACCATCCTGAGTGAGGTAACCCAGTCGCAAAAAGACAAACATGGTATGTACTCACTCATATATGGATTTTAGACATGGATCAGGATAGTGCCAGTTTGCACTTCCACTGATAGAGAGTCTGGGAAACAGGAAAGAACCTAAAAGATATGCATATATGCATAGTACCCAAGAGAAGAGGATGGAGACAAGATCCCCTGAATGGATGGGGAACACGGTAAGGAGTGGGGGGGAGTGGGACCTGGGAAGAAGAGAGCGGGTGAAAAGGAAGAGAGTTGGTCATGGGGGAAAAGGAAGTTGAGGGGGTGGGGGTAGAATAGGGGGAAGAGGGAATCATAGGATCAAATACAGATCAGGCACCAGAGCGACCTCTAGTGATCTAAAGGGATAACACCAATTGGCAAGCTAAGCAATAGTGGAGAGACCACCTCGAATGCCCATTCCTGATAATGAACTTGATGTCTATAACCATCCGGGAGCCTTCATCCTGTGACTGATGGAAGCAGAGGCAAACACACAATTAATCACTGAACTGAACCCAAGGAACCCAGTGACAGAGAGAGAGGAGTGATGAGCAAATTGGCAAAGAATGGGCTGGCAAAACCAGCAGAGACAGCTGATATGAACAGGGGAGAGCTCTTGGATCCCAGACTGACAGTGAGGAGGCCATTATGGGACTGATCTGGACCCCCCAAATGTGAGTGTCAGCGAGAAGGCCTGGGCAACCTATGGGGCCCTGAGCTGTGGATCAGTGTCTATCCCTGATATACAAGCAGTCTTCATGTGCCTATAGCACAAAGAGGG